ATATATCCCTTAAAGCTATCACGAATGTCGAACATTCTGTAGGCGTGAGCTCTACAGTTGCACCAATATGTTTCAAATATTAACGTAAAAAATCTCACGTTGTTTATCGGACCGCCTGGAATTAGGATATTATAGGACTGCCTGGCGTATAGCGTCGTGGCGCAGGCGTTAGTAGAGTAGGCGCCGGGTGCGCCAGTGTTTCAGTGCAGGATACTTTATTACAGTGTTCACATCTCCAGACCCTCGGAGATTTCAATGCCAAAGTTGCGTCAGGCTGTATTACGCCAGACTTCGTCAACGTGATAGTTAAAAAGTTATAAATGCGTACAGGATCCGGTTAGAGTATTTTCTGGAACTAATTTAAATTTATTTTTGTGAAAAAATGATTTAATTTTTTGTTAGGGTCTATGTGAAGATTTGGATAACGTTGCATAAAATTGAAATAATAAGTTCAGTTAAACGTAAAGAAGCTAACCTAAAATTATGCTATATATCAAGGATTATATTAGCCTAGCTTAGGAACCCTTGCCTAGAGTACACCCTATAAAAGTCAATCCACTCAAATTAGAATGATAAAACTAAGCTAAGAACATTCCCGGGGTTCTACTGAGTTTTCCTACTTTATTACTATTTTATACATATATATATGTGTATTCGTTTTAGCTTAGCTAGTACGAAATAGATTCTAGAACAATTTGTACACTCTCAGTACAGATGTATTCTAACGTCACAAGTGTCAATTCAGTTTTAGCGTCCGACAAATCATTAATAATAGTGACAATTTCAGAAAAGAATGTTTATCTTTCAGTAAGATAAGTGCAATTTTATGCTTTCTTTATTTCTGTTTTTTAACTTTTTTTCAATGTTAGAGAACTAATGTGAGAAAATTTCGTTTTCCTTGTTATATTTCTTTGACACTTGTGACGTCGTGTATAATTGGTCCATTTCTCTGTTGCCACCTATTGTACTTGATAATCTATTTGGCTAGGACAATGTAATTAGGTAGGATAATATTAAAATTAGATAATTAGAACTGCATACTTAGGTACGGTGGTAGGTGATTATATCAATGTAATTCCGACAACTTTTTTATTTAAATTTTGATTGTTGACAAGATTTTTTCGGATTACAAGTTTACAAGTAATTGTAATTGTAATGCTTCCATGTTTTTGTTTATCCATACTGTTGAAAAGCTTGATATAAATCAAAATTGAAATCGAAAGTCGTCTTCATTGTATTGATATATTTGCCTACCACCGTAAGATAATATTAGATTACATAATTACAATGACAAAATATTTTTTATATGTTCCAGTGTTTGAGCATTAACTTCTTTAATGAACAGATTATTTCCAGATAGACCGATATAAATATATGGCAAGCTAGTTAAATAGACAGATAGACAGATAGCCAGATAGACAGATAGACAGATAGACAGATAGACAGATAGACAGATAGACAGATAGACAGATAGACAAATAGACGGATAGACAGATAGACAGATAAACAGATAGCCAGATAGACAGATAGACAGATAGACAGATAGGCAGATAGACAGATAGACAGCGAGACAGATAGACAGATAATCAGATAGACAGATAGACAGATAGACAGATAGACAGATAGACAGATAATCAGATAGACAGATAGACAGATAGACAGATAGACAGATAGACAGATAAAACAGATAGACAGATAGACAGATAGACAGATAGACAGATAGACAAATAGACATATAGAAAGATAAACAGATAGACAGATATTCTGCTACACATACAGGAAACAAGACAGACAGAGATATAAGGACAGATAGACGGATAAGAAAGATAGATAGATAGTCAGTTAACCAAGTACACAGCTAGCCAGCTAAATATACTCCAAACCAGATAGACAGCGAGACAGCTATCAAGATAGACAGAGATACACAGCTGACTATAACATATCTATGGATAATGATTCAAATATACATAGAAAGATTGTAAGATAAGAAGTTTAAGATAGATATATTACCACAAACATAAACTGATATGGATAGCCTAAAGATAATTAGTCGGAACTTAGAACTTTTGGTTTTCGGGATCAAGCATTGTTCTCCATCTTTTGGAGACGGATTATTTAAATATCCTGGTCGCAATACCCTGCAGGGATACCTTTAATTACATTATCAAATATGAATCCTCAAAATTTCATGTTTCTGAATGTTTACATTGTAACGTGGACATCGAGATCAAGATTTATAATAAAACGGCAATTTCTAGTCTGACAAAAATGAAAGTATTTTTAAAGAATAAAAAGATCGGAAAATATAAAAGAATAAAGAATGAGACTACTGTGTGAACTGAGCTTATAGTAATAATATGATGTCAGTTAAAATATGACATTCGTCAAATTCATTCATAACAAAGATATTATAGATAAAGCCATTCATTTTCCTACTTTTAGACCGTTTACCCTTTATAGTTTCTTAAAGGAACTGTGTTTTTTTTAGTAACCACCAACTTAAATAGTTAAAAGGTCAAACCGCATTTGAAAATTATCATTTTTCCGATGGAAAAAAGGATATCTCCGGCCATGTACATTTGCTCAGACAAAAGTTTAACGGAAAACTTTGTGAATCGGACTTATAAATGGAGGGTCACTTAAATTACTGAAGGAACAGTGGAATTACAAAGGTGTATACTGCACCATGCAGTCTCCTGTCCTATCTGTCTTATCTATGATGTATAGTGTGTAGCAAAGGAACAGTGGAACTACAAAGGTGTATACTGCACCATGCAGTCTCCTGTCCTATCTGTCTTATCTATGATGTATAGTGTGTAGCAAAGGAACAGTGGAACTACAAAGTTGCATACTGCGGTATGGGTCTCCTGTCCTATCTGTCTCATCTATGATGTATAGTGTATAGCGAAGGAACAGTAGAACCACAAAGTTGCATACTGCGGTATGGGTTTCCTGTCCTATCTATCTTATCTATGATGTATAGTGTATAGTGAAGGAACAGTGGAAGTACAAAACTGCATACTGCAGCATGGGTCTCCTGTCCTATCTGTCTTATCTATTTTGATCCCTCTTACATGGTAAAATATTTCATATTAAATTTGATCTTAAAGTTTTGGCCCTGACCCGCAAATAAGGTTATGGAGTAATAATCTTCATGACTTATTTTGTCTGGAAATTGAAGTCATTATTTTTATATTTGTATGCAAACAATGCATTTATGTATATTGCATAATGCAAGAAAACCACAGATTCACTAGAATAAAACAGAGTTTGTTAAAAGCTAAATAATGTGCATCATAATACACTTATACATATTTAAAGGGAGTGACCGGCTAAGTAAGGTAGTTGCATTGAGTATGCAGTGTTGTGGAAAACTTCTTTCGGATTATTTCTAATTCTGAAAATGTATCCACCCCCAAAAAAAGGAGTTTTGAACGTCGACTTTGCGCTCAAACTCAGGATTTACAGATTTTTTAAAAGTTTAATATGTCTCAAATGAATCCGAAAGAAGTTTTCCACAACACTGCATGCTCAGTTCATCTACCTTACATAGCCTTTAACGGTAAACTAGAGGTCCTAGTAAAAAGTACAATGACTCTGAATCCATTTTCCCCCAGAAAATGTAGATTTTCCGTATTTTCTATTTTATACCTTTTAGTTGGGGTTTAGGCTATATTTTAAATGAGAGATCAAAATTAGTAAAAATATTGTGATACAAACAGAATGCACGTGATCTATTTTAAACTTTAAATATAGTACACAATCTATTATCTATTTTCTTCAGGATACTAATTTGGTGATTTCTGAAAATCTTTTGGGGGGATTTTTTGAAATCTTTTAGGAGATTTTTAAAAATAAAACAAAATAGGATTTTACAAAACAATAAACATCTAATCACATCAAATTGATTATATCTTAGCACTAGTTTGTGAGCAAAATCTTCTCTACGTTATAGGGTGCTTGTATGTCTAATCATAACCCAAAATCCCTCCCATAATTTGTCTCAATTTTGGATTGAGAAATTCTTTAGAACCAAATAAATGTTTTACTAAGCTATTAATTCGTACATTTGAAAATACTAATGGAATACAATATTAAACCTTAAGAACAATAAGGTTTACGAAAACGTGATCTAAGCAAAAACAATTACTTCTAAAATAATTAGTTAAAGTACCACGCTTAAGTAATTCATTACAATGATATGCTTAGTACACTTATCATCACTGTGCAAACGGGTAACTTATTGTGCAAAACCGGAACTATGTACTTCAACTTTGTTCTTGTCGGTTAGGAATAGGATTCAAAAACCGGAACTATGTACTTCAACTTTGTTCTTGTCGGTTAGGAATAGGATTCAAAAACCGGAACTATACTTCAACTTTGTTCTTGTCGGTTAGGAATAGGATTCAAAAACGGTGTCTCAAGTTTTAAAATAATTAAAAACAAAAACTTAAATTTCAGAATTCGTATATCTTGACAACCTGATGGTGTAAACCTTTAATTTTCAAACTTAGATTATTTGATCTAACAGAATTCATAGTTTGAAATATCCAAGGTCTACGACATAGGGTTGCAAAGATATAGGGTTTAGAAAATCAGAGTTTGTTACAAAGACTTGCAATTCCTTTTTTACAGGTCGTCCATTATAAACTTTCACAAGTAAATGCGTGTTTTAAGCTTATAGCAAAATGATTACAGAAAAAGTAGGATTATATGACAAACCTTTGTTTATAAACATAATCATCTGTAGTGCTGACTAATTAGACCGAACAGGGTGATTGTACACAATTAGTCAGTAATTATACTTCCTTAATCATTATAATATAGGAGTGCAACCATTAGACGCATACTTAGTATATCTTCAATTCTAGGAAACATATGTTTGTCATAAAATGGAATAATATCATAAAATATTCTCTATCAGATAATAATTTTTACCTTGAATTATCTATTCAACATTTTTAAAATCATCTCTTAAAACAAACGCTTATTCCAGAAGATGTTAAGAAAATGTCGGAAATTTTTCTATTGAAAACTACAGAATTGGATTTGTCTGAAACCACCTCCTCATCAAAAAGAACAGAATGGTTACCCAGGTATTTTTGGTATATTTTGTTCTAAAATTATTCTAATCTTTTTAATAAAAACAAGGCTCGTGTCTTTTCCTCGGGTCTATTCCTCGGGTCTATTCCTCGGGTTTATTCCTCGGGTTTATTCCACGGCTCTATTCCTCGGGTATATTCCTCGGGTTTATTCCTCGGGTCTATTCCAAGGGTCTATTCCAAGGGTCTATTCCAAGGGTCTATTCCTCGGGTCCATTCCTCGGGTCTATTCCTCGGGTTTATTCCTCGGGTCTATTCTACGGGTCTATTCCTCGGGCCTATTCCTCGGGTCTATTTCAAAATATGTTTTTTTGCACAATCTCTGAAAAGGGTAATTGCCCGTCCCTCCCAACCTATATTTTGAAACTTCAGAAACGACTGTACGGGATATTTTTCAATTCTTTTTTGTTATATTGATGGCTCCCTATTTAGTTTTATACTATTTGCATTTTTGCCAAATTTTTTAACACTTCTATAAAAGATTAATCTTCAGAGATAATCCGTTACAGGTCGTCGTTATAAAGTTTCATCCTTTGTGATTAACCCTATATATTATACCAACTATAAATTATAAATACAATAAAATGTATCGGACTGGCAATTCCAAAATGAAAATTAGACTGATTTCAAGCATTTTTTAAAGTTTGTAGAAATGAATTGAGTGTTTGCCACAAACTCAAATGTTCTAATCCCTATATATTTGCAATCTTATGACAAAATTCAAATTATTAAGATTAAGCATACAACTTGCTTTTTATGGTTTAAATATTTCTTAAACTAACCATTTAAGCTTTTTGCTTGCATCGAAAAAAGTGTCTGTAATCCTAAAAATTATTAACACTAAGGCCCGTAAACTGGAAGTTTTTATGTGTGGTGCGGGGGGGNAAAACCCTCTCCTACCCGGTACATCTTGTTTATTTATTAAATAATCTCGCGGATTTCCGCACATCAGAACATTGAGGAAACATTGAGATAAGGAAATTTGTCCCATTAAGAAAAGGAAGAATTCGGCAATATCTTTGTGTCTAAATAGATAAAACTTCGGACAAGCAAGGAAGATACACGTAGAACTATAGCAATTTGAATATAATTTAAAGAGTAGATATGCTATATTTACACTAAAAATATATCATAATTCTAAATGTTTTTGAATTCACTCAACTTTTTCAACTCCTCCCACTGAAAACTGAGTTCTTGTAACAAACTCTAATTTTCCAATCCCTATATGTTTGCAACCAGATGGTGTAAACCTTTGATATTTCCAACTTAAACCTATTTTATCTTACAAAATTCATAGTTCGAAATAGCAATGGATTGCGACATCAAATTGCAAAAATTTAGGAGGTTGCAAAAACTCAAATTTTCCTTGGCTGGAAGGGTTCTGTTATAATCGTTACCATTAAATAATGGGTATGCCCTAATTTACTTTTAGAATCCTTTGTATTAGAATAAAAGTACATGTACACAAGTTAATTATATTGATCTTAATCTGTTTCTTGCATGCGTATTAACATGATATTTACCGTCAATTGAAAACCAATAAGATTCAGAAATTACACAGAGAAAATCGTTTTACACCGTTTAAACTTAAATAAATAATGCTTAACCAAACACACTTTCACGTGTCAAATTATGTGAAGGGGGGGGGAAGGGCCTTGTTTGTTTGCTGTGTCTTTCATTCGAATTTTAAAAAGGTCTATTTAAATATTATCGCTGAGAACCTGTCAAAGTTTCAAAAATAAAATTACATCAAATAAAACCGTTGTTTCAGCAAAATAAAATAAAGATATCAATTGTATTTCAATAAAAAAAGTTTTTCCCTCCAATTTTTGAGAAATAAAAATCCTTTTTGGTATGGAAAACCACGATATTTACCTTGTTTTAACTCAACTGTTATAATAGTTAAAAGGTACCGTTGTGAATCAGACATGTTACATATCCGTAGTGAATCCGACATGTCACATATTCGTTGTGAATCAGACATGTCACATATCCGTTGTGAATCAGACATGTCACATATCCGTTGTGAATCAGACCTGTCACATATCCGTTGTGAATCAGACATGTTATATATCTGTTCTGAATCAGACATGTCACATATCTGTAGTGAATCAGACCTGTCACATATCCGTTGTGAATCAGACCTGTCAAATATCCGTTGTGAATCAGACATGTCATATATACGTTGTGAAACAGACATGTTATATATCCGTTGTGAATCAGGCCTGTCACATATCTGTTGTGAATCAGGCATGTCAAATATCCGTTGTGAATCAAAAATGTCATATATCTGTTGTGAATCAGACATGTCACATATCTGTAGTGATTCAGACATGTCAAATATCCGTTGTTAATCAGACATGTCATATATCCGTTGTGAAACAGACATGTTATATATCCGTTGTGAATCAGACATGCCACATATGAACGTAGGGTCCCTTTTAAAAATTTTAATTAGTTTTTGTTTAGGGAGCGTGTGGTGCTTCGCGTATTGTTTTGCGCTGGTTTATGCGCCTAGCAAACATACTAATTATGGCTGGAGGTATAACTCTTCTAGCCATCGGTATTTGGATCATTCACAGGTCAGACATACAGGCATTTTTAAGTATTACGTTATTTATAAACATGATTTGTTTTTTGCATCGTTCTTGATCTTTTTTTTACTTTTGGTTGTTTTTAACTTTGAGGATAGATCAATTATTCAATTTTTTTCATTAGCTCTCAATATTTTTTGTTCTTTTTACTTTGTATATACTATATGTTTATATTTTATCTAAATACATTTTTCTCCCTCTGTTATTTTCTTGAATTGTTCAACTTTTAATATATTCTTAATAAATAGAAAAATGAAAATTCTCAGTTTGTTTAAATCTTATGTGCTATTTTTACTTATTAGCTTATTTTGTATTTAATCGTCATTTTTATGTTTACAAAACAGGAAAACCTTCTCCAATGAGCTGCTGAGGAACATGTTGTATTTAAACACGGCGAGGGTGGTCTCGGCGGTCGGAGGCCTCACCATCCTCACAAGCCTTTTCGGCCTCTACGCAGCACAAAAGGTAAACTACTTGTTGAAAGAGATTGCATACGTGATTTTAACGAACATTTCGACGAATGAATGTTATTAATTAATCTTTAAAGGGAGTGTTCGCGAAAAATGAAAGGGGGTATACAAATATTATAAAATATAAACTATATACAAATGTGGCGAAAGATAATCGATGACTTTAGGTTGTACTATCTGAATGATTTGTTTGAAATTAAATTGATTTTTTTACGGTCTAAGTCGTATGTTGCAATTTTCTCAATTTGTATGGACGCTAGGTTATTAGGTATGAGACGTATTTAACAATTTTCTCCTTATAGACGCAATAGAAGTAAGATTAGTAGGGATCAAAAGCGCTTTTTTATTGTATTAAGCCTATACCCCCTTTCATTTCTCGCGAACACTCCCTTTAAAACTAATGTAAGACTCCTTGATCTTTTCTTGCGCTTCTTTGGTCTGGAAATCCTTGTGTCGTCGTCTAAAAAGCCAGAATATAAAAATATAATTTCAAAGATATCATAGTTTCAGTATCATTACAGATAAGTAATGCAATTCAAACTTTTAAACAATTTTTAAAGCTGTTCCTTTAAATATAACCTTAGTAGTCCAAATTACTAATTACTATTATTTTTTTAGCTTTGAAGTTGATTTTATAAAAGTGTCAAAAGTCTATGATAAAAATATTATCTTAAAGTTTTCTTTATTTCTAGATTTATACTTTTCTTCAACATAATAAATTAAAAGTTAACTTTTAAAAAAATTATAGAATAGTTCTCAATGTTCTTAGTTTTCATATTTACTCCTGCAAGGGAGTGTAATCGTAATTTCAAGAAAGCCTCTCTCAAAGATGCCAACTCCTGATTTTAAACGGTCCCTTTGTCTCTGATCAAGTTTCGGAATACCGTTGTAGATCGGGCATTGACATCTTTGCTAAGAAAGTCACATGAAATTACGCTGACAGTCCCTTTAAACATTTTCAATTTGTTTTTTCAACATGAAGGAAGGATAAAAAACAAAATCACCAAAACTACCAGTTCTTTTGTTTAGGAAGTGAAAGTGCTCCATCTAACTTACTTTGTTCTCATTTCAATTCTTCTTCTTATTCTCTCCATCGGAGCAATTCTAGCCTACGTATTCACAGAACAGGTTGGTCCTCCGATGACTTCTTGAAAGGCGCTAGACTCAGTAGAAAATTTCTTCGACGCTTTTTATATGTTTTTCATAATTACGATGTGTTAGTGTAAAGTGAAAATTATAATTAATTAGAACTTGATTAGTATCTTTAAAAAAGTATCTTTGGATCCGGTGTCGTGCATTAGTTCATTTCTTTTTTTTAACCATGCATTTCATCACAATGTTAGACATCTAAAGTAAAGTTTTGTCACTTGCCGATGTTTATTAATGTATTTTGATTGAAAAAAATACACATTCAAAATTATCACAATCTTGAATAATTTTTAATAAATTAAAAAAAAACTAGGTTTTCTTTTCTTTAACCAATTTTAGCTCTTGACTGTTGCTCCGAAAATCAGCCATTTTTTATCATTCAAAATGTTTCTTCCGTTTTTCTATTCGATTGGCGAAAACTTTCGGGATTTTTTTTCAATTTTGATGCTCCATAAACCTTCTTTGAGATGATGCGAGGTCCCATACAAAATGTGCACCTGATCGATTCAGCTGTTTTATGTTTATTGGACACGGACAGACAAACAGACAAGCAAAGTATATTCATAGAAGACGACGTTGGAGAGGAAATATTTTTAATGCATAAAACCCGGGTTAGAAAATATTAGATCTTTATCTGTTTATTTTTGCCAAACGTTTCAAAATTATCTAAATAGTTTGATCATTGATTAATAACGACACAGATAGTCGTCTTTTAAAGATTTAGGGGTTTTTCGTTCACAATAACCCTGAGGAGAAGCCCAAAGGAGTTCCGCGTAAGCAGCGCATGCTCTCTCTTTCTGTCTTGTAATTCAACACTGCCTCCGCGTTACTCCTTTGGGCTTCTTCTCATGGTTATTGCGAATGAAAAACCCTTAAATCTTTAAAAGACGACATCTAGTGGTCTATCTGTGTTGTTATTAATCTATGATTAAACTATTTAAGTAAATTTTGAAACGTTTGGCAAAATAAAACGCAGATAGCGTAGAATTACAAGACAGAGAGAGGGCATGCACCGACTGAGAGGAACTCCTTTTGGGCTTCTGCCTTAGGGTTATTGTGAACGAAAAACTCCTAAATCTTGAAAAGACGACATCTAGTGCTCTATCTGTGTTGTTTTAATCTATGAGTTTGATAGTGATTTAAAAAGTTTAACAAAAAAAAACAGATTTGCCAAAATCAAATGACAAAATCAAATGACAAAATCAAATTATAAACCAATAACTTTAAGATTGTGCAAGATAGATGCTCTAGCAAAAAAATGTCCATTTTATTGTAAAATGTTAAATCTAAAAATGTCCAATTATTTCTTTATTTTCCAAGTCACTCCTCTGTAAAGCCAAGATGACATGAGCTTAACATAAGTCTTTAATTGATAATGACCAATCAGAAAAAAGACGGAAATAAATACTTCGTTTTTTGTCTAAAGTAAAAAACGTTGATACTATTTTGGCAATTTAAAAAAACCGAAGTGTACAACGACAAATTTTGTAATTATTATCAATTTGGGCAATACAAGAAAAGATTGAATAAATGTTTAGGAGTAATATACAATTAAACTGAAATACATGTTTAGGTAGATAATACAATACATGTTTAGATTGTAATACAATACATGTTTAGGTAGATAACACAATAAATGTTTAGACTGATAATACAATACATGTTTAGGTAGATAATACATATGTTTAGGTAAATAATACAATACATATGTTTAGGTAAATAATACAATACATGTTCAGGTAAATAATACAATACATGTTTAGGTAGATAATACAATACATATGTTTAGGTAAATAATACAATACATGTTCAGGTAAATAATACAATACATGTGTAGGTAGATAATACAATACATGTTTAGGTAGATAATACAATACATGTTTAGGTAAATAATACAATACATGTTTAGGTAGATAATACAATACATATGTTTAGGTAAATAATACAATACATGTTTAGGTAGATAATACAATACATGTTTAGGTAGATAATACAATTCATGTTTAGGTGGATAATACAATACATGTTTAGGTAGATAATACAATTCATGTTTAGGTAGATAATACAATAAATATTTTGGTGGATAATACAATACATGTTTAGGTAGATAATACATATGTTTAGGTAAATAATACAATATATATGTTTAGGTAAATAATACAATACATGTCTAGGTAAATAATACAATACATGTTTAGGTAAATAATACAATACATATGTTTAGGTAAATAATACAATACATATGTTTAGGTAGATAATACAATTCATGTTTAGGTAGATAATACAATAAATATTTTGGTGGATAATACAATAAATGTTTAGGTATATAGTGCAATAAATGTTTAGATGGATAATACAAAAAATGTTTGGGTGGATAATACAATAAATGTTTAGGTGGATAATACAATAAATATTAAGGTAGATAATACAATACATGTTTAGGTGGATAATAAAATAAATATTTTGGTGGATAATACAATAAATATTTAGGTAGATAATACAATAAATGTTTAGGTGAATAATACAATAAATATTTTGGTGGATAATACAATACATGTTTAGGTGGATAATACAATACATATTTTGGTGGATAATACAATACAAGTTTAGCAGATAAAACAATAAATGTTTAGAAGACAAGAAATTTTTAGGTAGATATTACAATAAATGTTTTTCGGTTAATAATAATTGTTTAGGCGGATAATATAATAAATGTTTAGGTAGATAATACAATACAAGCTGAGATGATCTCCGATGTGAGGCTCTATGACCCGAATGATCCAGGACCGGTCACGTGGGCGTGGGATCAAACTCAAACACAGGTAAAGAATTTAAAGCTGACCGGCGGGGATAGGTTAAGGATAGGTAGAAAAAGTCGGAATTTTCTTAAAAATTTAATTGAAAAATAATCTCCCAAGAAAGGGGTTGATTCATTTGTCGTACTGTCCAATTTTGCCTTATATAGTCTGCATGCAGTACTGTACAGTTTGTTCTAGCTGCTTAAACATCGGCCGGGTACTTGAAATAAATCCGATCGAGTTAACAGTGAAATGTTCATCAATGATGAAATAAATATTTTTCTTTTAAAATTTTTTTTAAATTACTGATCATCAACGGTTGTTTTAATGTAAAAGAAATATTTCATTATTACCAAAAACAAATTTTCAGTATTACAGTTTTCAAATTTTAGTATTTTATTCTGCTCGTTGCGAATAATTTCATTAAAATGAATTATGACGAAATTAAAGACGAAAACTTCAATGCCTTTTATATCAACTTAAATATTAATACTTGAACTTTGAAATTATTTTAAAATGAATGAGATTTCAATTTGTTGAAACCTGTCCAAGTTTTGAGCAGTTCTCAGGCATGACAACCTTTAAACTAAATTAGCCCAAAGGGAAATACATTGTTTAAAGGGACAGACCAGCTAAGTAAGGTAGTTGATCTGAGTATGCAGTGTTGTGGACAAATTCTTTAGGATTCATTTGAGACATATAAAACGTTTCCACGATGCATAATTACTCAGTTTGAGCTTAAATTCGACGTTCAAAGTCATGAACTTGGGTGGGTACGTTTTCAGAATCGGTTTTTTTAAAAACTATTAAATAACGGCGATGAAAAATGTAGTAAAAATTCTTTAGTAAACTAATTAGATGTTTAGGAACCTATTTTTCATAAGAAATTTGTCAATAAATCGAAGTTAGAATTAATTATTTCCTTTTTCATTATTATAATGAATTCCTTATTTTCTATGAATTTATTCGCAGATTTCTTCAAATTCTTCAAATTTCGTCTTTTTAATAAAACTTTCAGAAAATCTGCAGAAAATCTTAGTGATTAAAGAGAGATTAAAGAAACTATTTATTGAATAAGATTAAATATTTACGATGATAAGAGTTAATTTTTGTTTTCTCAACCTGTTCCTAAACAACTAATTAGTTTACCGTAGAATTTGTTTACATTTTTTGTCGTCGTTATTTGATAATTAAAAAAAAACAATTCTGAAAACGTATCCACCCAAAAGTACGATTTTGAACGTCGACTTTGCGCTCAAGATCTTTAAAACGTTTTATATGTTTCTAATAAATCCTAAAGAATTTGTCCACAACACTGTATACTCAGTTTAACTACCGTTCATAGCCGGTCTGTCCCTTTAAGGGAAAATGAGGTATAGGGGAAACAAGATGTTTACGGAAATCATGCGGTTGTTTGGTAAATATGAAACACACATGTGGTAACAGTGGTTGTGGTTGTTCGGAAACAATTGGATTAATGGAAATTTACACATGTGGTTTAATTGAAACATAGTGGAGTTTGTACTTTTTTCTGAATCTATATAAAAGAACACAGCCAAATGGGGTCTTGGTTATTCATAGCTTACACAAAAAAGAGTTTAACGACGACCTTTTCAACGTATTTTTAAAAATACTAAAGTCAGAACACATGAATTTCCCTAGAAAGGTCTCGTTCATTTAGTGTACTATCCCGTTTTGCCTGGTATAATTTGTATGTGTACTGAACAGCTCACTCAAGCTAGTAAGTAGGGTTTCCAGCGAAAAAAATCGTTTCGCAAAAATTTCGCAATTTTCGCACGAAAATTTCGCAAAAAAATACGGTTCATTTCAAAGATTTTTTCTTGCAATTGGCTGGCTCATTGCTAGCTGGATTTAGGTGAACGCACGTGGACAGACAAAAACTCAAAAAGATAGCTAGAGAAATCAAATTATCTTCATCAAACATTTGTTAAAGTAAAGGAAGAGAAATTAATAATATGATATAATAAAACTTCAAATGTTGAGCTCTCAGAGCAGGAGTTCTACAAGTTTTATTGCAAAATAAATTGTTGCAGCTACAACTATATGGTTTTCGCGAATTTATTTTTTGTTCGCAACAAATATTTTCGCAAAATTTTCTTATTTTTCCGCAAATATGCGAAATGCGAACGAAAATTTTTGCATTTTTTGCGAGAAACGTTTCGTTCGCTGGAAACCCTATTGGTAAGTGTTCGGCCGGATTTTTGAACTGAACCGGACTTAACAATATAAAGTCTTAAAAGACCTTAAAATTATATTAGAGAACTATACTTCCAGGGTGAACCAGAGAACTATACTTCCAGGGTGTACCAGAGAACTATACTTCCAGGGTGAACTAGAGAACTATACTTCCAGGGTGAACCAGAGAACTATACTTCCAGGGTGTACCAGAGAACTATACTTCCAGGGTGTACCAGAGAACTATACTTCCAGGGTGAACCAGAGAACTATACTTCCAGGGTGAACCAGAGAACTATACTTCCAGGGTAAAGAAAACGGGATTAGATAGTGAGAGTTTGTGTCAAAAGCTCAGTTCCTTAACAGAAATATAAAATATACATTCATGACTTTTAAATAAATTTGAATCTAGACAAAACTTGAAAGGTACAAAATTGGCGGAATCTCAAGACAGTAATCTAAGACTACATAAACTTTTCTTTGGAACACCCTAAAAGATATTCCTATGGTTGTTATCTCTTATCTTATGTTGACAAGAGTGTACGAAGTATGACGCGTGGATTAATGCGTACAGTGTACATTACCTTGATATTTGTCACGCTACGCTAAATATTACGCATTCCTGAGCATCTACGTGAAGATGAAGCCAAATAAAGTTAATAAAGTAAATTAATCAATAAAACCAGATTTTATCTTGGTCGTCCGTGCCAATTTAATTAATTTAAACTTTGTTCTAATATTTTAACAATGGCGTAACATAGCACTTTTCTGAGGGGGGGAGGTACAGGGGAATCGAGCCCCCCCTGTCGATTTTTTTTTTAAAACAGTAAGCGCTGTTTTCAGGATTTGAAGAATAATCATATCATGCTGGAGTCAAGTGAGGTTCGTGAGGTGGGGGGTGAGAGGGGGCGAAATATGCTGAGCGGGGCGGGGAACGTGGTTAGCCCCCCCCCTTAGTTGCGCTACTGTCCATTTATAATTTATAATTTGTAATACAGTTATATCAATACAATGAAGACGATTTTCTATTTCAATTTTTATTTAAATCAAGCTTTTACAGAGCATGGATTCACATAAACATAAAAAGCAAGAGAAGCTGTTAATTAAAAAGCTTCTTTTTGATTTATACTTGAAAACTTAAAATTCTTAAAAAACTTTGTTACCATTCGAATATCAAAAACAAAAGTCGTCTTCATTGTATTGATATAATTGCTTACCACAGTATATGATTTAAAATTTATGATAACCAGAAAATTCTGAAATAGGAAGACAACTTTTAAAATCCAGTTATAACTTCAGAAAGTCCAATTAACATGAGAAACAGCAGAGAAAATACCTAACACCTTCTATATTGTAGCTTGAATGTTGTGGGTTGATGACCCCGCAGGTCAACTCTTCCTGGGAGATCTGGAGATACTCTAGAGCACTAAATAAAGGTAGAGGATTTTGTATAAACTTATTCATTGACCCCCATTGCGAAAATCCCTACCGCGGACTCGCATAGCTAAATAGCACAGGAAAAGACTGTAGTGCAAAAGCATATGTCGTCTTCCTTTCAAGTTATGAACAAATTTCTATCAATGTATATATACTTCTTAATGTTTTTTTTTCTTCTTAATTTTTTGCCGTTCATATGATGCTAATTGCAACTTATTGTGCCGGCGACCTGATCGACCAGCCTGCTACTAAGAGTATTTCTTGCTATCAACCGATATCTGCATATATCCTTCTGTGATTTAAAGGTTGCAAGCTCTCATGCTAAAATCGATAAAAATTTTGCCAATTTTTTCAAAAGACTATAAGCTAAAAACAAGTGTTTTACAGTTTTAAAATGTAAAAAAGGAAACAAGAAAGCAGTAATGAGTAACCCCAACGCTGACCCGTCGGAGGAACATTTCATAGCAGTAGGTTAAATCTTTGTGTTCCAGGAGAAGGTGTGTGGAGGGTTCCTGACTCATGTTGTTCCCCAGACCAACTCTGTGGAACCTTTAGTTCAAATATATCGGGCATTTTTACTAGGAACATTTTTTATACGATAAAGCTAATGAAAGAAAAATTGAATAAGAAAAGATCATGAAACAAAATTTTAAATTGAAAAGATCATGAAACAAAATTTAAAATTGAAAAGATCATGAAACAACAGTTCAAATTGAAAAAGATCATGAAACAAAAGTAAAAGTTGAAAAAAGATCACGAAACAAAAGTAAAAATTGAAAAAGATCATGAAACAGAAGTAAAAATTGAAAAAGATCATGAAACAAAAGTAAAAATTGAAAAAAGATCATGAAACAAAATTGAAAATTGAAAAAGATCATAACACAAAAGTAAAAATTGAAAAAGATCATGACACAAAAGTAAAAATTTAAAAAGATCATGAAACAAAAGAAAGATCATGAAACAAAAACAAAAATTGAAAAAGATCATGAAACAAAAGTAAAAATTGAAAAAGATCATGAAACAAAAGTAAAAATTGAAAAATATCATGAAACAAAAGTAAAAATTGAAAAAGATCATTAAACAAAAGTTAAAATTGAAAATTATTCAGTTTAACTCTAGATTAAAAGTTATCCAATGGTTAAATGGTTCAAGCTTGGATTCCTTTTAAGATGAATGACTGGAGTTTTATTTGTTTTCGATAGTTAAAAATTGTTGCCAGAGATTGCTATGTAGAGGTTAAAGAATACGTAGTTCAACATGCTAGTTTACTTGGAGCTGTAGCTGTGGGTATAGCTTGCATTCAGGTAATATTATTATTGTTATTATTATTATTATTATTATTATTATTATTATTATTATTATTATTATTATTATTATTATTATTATTATTATTATTAATAATAATAAAATACTATTTTAGTACTTCTAATGATTTTATTTTCAGTTTCTTGGTGTCTTGAGTTCTCTTATACTATTTAGATCGATAGTATAATTTCCTCAACAATTTTATTGAAGTTTTAATTGGACAAACTATCAGTTGATTTTTTCACGCCTAGCGATTCGTGATGGAAGATCATCTAAGATTATAGATCGCTGAAGATCCTATAAGATTATAGATAGCTGAAGATCCTAAAAGATTATAGATCGCTGAAGATCCTATAAGATTATATATCGCTGAAGATCCTATATGATTATAGATCGCTGAAGATCCTATAAGATTATTGATCGCTGAAGATCATCTAAGATTATGAATCACTGAAAATCATCTTAGAAAAAAGATCGCTGAAGATTATCTAAGATTATAGATTTCTGTAGACAATCTAGGATTATAGATCACTGAAGATCATCTAAGATTATAGATCGCTGAAGATCATCTAAGACTATAGATCGCTGAAGATCATCTAAGATAAAAGATCGGGAAGAAGGGAATTAATAAAACATTACAACCCGGTGAAAGACGATATAACAAAAATGTGATAAATTTGAAAATTATTGCAATATTTATTTTAATGTATATTTTATAAGTTTAAATGGTTTCGATCATTGTTTAATCTTTAACAGTCTTCTTTATTTTTCAATTCAATCACTTATTTATTAAACTTTTAGAATTAACTGAAAACTCCATAATTATGGGCATTTACAATCCGGTTTTAAAGGTTAAAATTTGAATTACAGCCTTGGTATTTATGATCAATATTGCGCAATTGGAATTTGAATTTTATTTATTTTTTATTTAAAGGCTAAAATTTAATTTGTTAGTTAAAATACTTATTTATGCCAAAAAAATCTTAGTTCTGAAGCTTAATCTATAAAAATATTTCTACAGTAGTGATGAATTTTCGATCCTGTTGATAGTTAAAAGTTAATTGAAACTTTTTTCCCTGAGAGCCTCTAGATTTGATTATAAATCATATTTAGCTTTTTAGTTTTTAACATTATGATGAAAATTTCATTCTTTTAATGTAAAAATCTACACAATCGAGATACTTTTGGCTTTTTGTCGCAGAATGTAAGAATGCAACATTAAAACTGCACCCACCCGCCATTTTAAATTTAATTTGTGTCAGATTTTAAAATTGTGAATCTAATAGTTTTTAATGAATTTCATCCGATTGAAAAAATATCAATTAGAAATGAAAATGGTTTACTCTAAAAGGTTATCTTTCTTTTAGAAATACGCCAATTTGGTTTGCTTTTAATTTCTAAATGGAGAAAGCAAATTTTTTAAACCATTATTTTTTAATAATTTTGTATTCACTAATTAACTAAGTAAATCATATCATCATTATCATTTTTCATTATTATTACAGTTCCTTATTACGGCCTAGTCATTAGTCAACCATGCAACATTATAAATTAATAAATTATTTTAATATTTTTGTTTTTATTATTTTACAGCTCGTTTTAGAACTTTGATTTTCAATGAAAACGGGCAGCCGTAGTACTCTACCCTTTCTCCGGGTCAGACTTTATGCTTCATATAGGTTCAATTTACTTTTACTATAGGGGCAGAGGTGTGTGGAAAAGTACTATAATGGATTCCACGAAAATAGTATTAATATTAGTAACCTATTCTTGGAATTCTTGTATCTTAAAAATATATAAAAATAATTGAAATGTAGATTATTTTGGATTTTTAATATGACAACTATATTGACATTTTTTGTGGCCCCTAGGTTAAGTTTTTGTTATTATTGAAAACTATTGATTAATTTGTAATTTTTAATCAAGTCATCTAACCCCTGTAAACTAACCGTCAACCGTGGAAAAAAATTGAAAAAAAATTTGAAAAAATTTGATTTTTTAGCCGATAACACCCCCCGGCCACCCATGAGTGTCCACAAAAAAATTCAGCCCAATCGGTCTAGCCGTTTGGCCGGCTATACGCAACATCACCATAGTTTCAGTAGAAGTAAATATTTCCATTTACTGATAGCGCCGATTAAAGGATTCATATCTCTGATTGGATGATGAGATATAGATAGAAAGATAGATGTTACCGCCAAACTATTTCTATTGGTTCAGAATAGACAACAAACACATGACTGAACCCTGATTGGATCAGGCGCTAATGGACTCGTCATAAAGGAGTGACATATACGAATGTCTTGTTTTATTATATAGATTTCAAGCTTACGTGCAATTTCCCTTACAATAATTCTTGTCTATTAGTGATGATTTGTATGATCTAATAAAGGCAGTCTCTTTTGTCTTTGATCAATTTTCTCTAGTTGTCTAGTCTGTGCTGTAGGTCCTGACCTCTGTCTTATTAAAGCTAATAGTCTCTTTCATTGTTTCTGATCTAAATTCTCCAGAAGTATTATCCATGTGCTGTTGAGTGAGTCTATTTAATAAAAGCGGTCTCTAATCGCAAATTGTCTCTGATCTATATTTCTATAGAGTCTTGTCTGAACTAAATAGAGTAAAGGATTATCAAATAATTAAATAGTACAAGTGGTATTTCTTTACATTCTTTTCTGACCTTTAACACCCCCCTTTCCCCTCCCTCCTCTCTATCAGCCGGACAACGCCCTTGATTACTATATCCTAGTTATCTTTGCCCTTTATCTGCACAGTACCAAGTCCCCCAAAAGTTACATATATCCCAGTAAAATATACATGACTATGCTAAGAAATTAAAATACAACCGGTTCTATTCTTAATACGTCATTATCTAGGGCGGGATTATATTCTAAGCCAAGGACAAAGTTAGACCACGGACAACATGTAGATATTTATATATATTATATAAGAAAAGAAGAGGTATTATTACTAAGGGTGTCTCGGAAAACGTTTCTTAAACATGTTTTTGACTGAAATAAGAATCGTACATTTTTCACTTTGTTCTATTTTTATTACAATTTTACTTTTTGATGGTGATATTCTAGAAAAAGATAAAAATCTGCGGTTTTCTTCAATATTTGATAGAAATACCATGGTAGAGCAAATATTTTCAATGATTTATTTTTTGTTGCAAGTTTACAACATTTGTATCCTTGTCTTTTGATTTCCCAATTTGTATGTTACCAAGACATGTGTACTGCAGCTTAGACGTCTATTGAAGGGAGGAAGGCCAACCACATCATTTCCAGTTCCGAGCCACATTTTCCTCATTTTCGCAACCAAACCACATCGGAAACCTCTTTCATGCCTTTTCAATTTAAAAAAAGATATTTTTTAAATGGTCAAATCTGTGAAATTTTGGCCATTTAAACAAATACAGTAAGGTTCGATCTGAGTGTATTACGACAATAAGATTAGGTCTTCACCTTGAAACTTAAGTCAACTATTTTTTTAGGTGAAAATTAAATTAAATCTCTTATGTCTACTTTATGATGGATAACTGTCACAATATAAGAAAAATAGTAAAATATTTGTCACACAGCTGTTTTTCATTTCTCCAATGGCGGGCCAACCGGGAAAATTCTAAGGTTTGCGGTAAAATTAACAACAATTGAATATTTATGAAGTTGTAATAGTTCACGGCAATCTATGCTAGACATATCTGAAAAATGGCGTAAGAAAAGAAAATTTTAAAGGACATAAAACTTGAAAATTTCCAGACAGTAGGACTCCAGACAGTAGGACTCCAGACAGTAGGACTCCAGACAGTAGGACTCCAGACAGCAGGACTCCAGACAGCAGGACTCCAGACAGCAGGACTCCAGGCAGCAGGACTCCCAGACAGTAGAATACCAGAAAGTATAGACTCCAGACAGTAGGACTCCAGACAGTAGGACTCCAAACAGTAGGACTCCAGACAGTAGGACTCCAGACAGTAGGACTCCAGACAGTAGGACTCCAGACAGTAGGACTCCAGACAGTAGAAAACTAGACAGTAGGACTCCAGACAGTAGAATACTAGACAGTATAGACTCCAGACAGTAGGACTCGAGACACTAGGACTCCAGACAGTAGGACTCCTGACAGTAGGACTCCAGACAGTAGGACTCCGAAAATTAGGACTCCAGACAGCAGGACTCCAGACAGTAGGATTCCCAGACAGTAGAGCTCTAGACAGTGGACCCCAGAAAGTAAAATACCAGAAAGTATAGGCTCCTGATAATAGGACTCCAGACAGTAGGACTCCAGACAGTGCAGACAATAGGATTCCAGACAGTAGAATACCAGACATTAGGATTTTTAACAGTAGGACTCCAAACAGTAAAATACAAGACAGTAGGACTCCAGACAGTAGGACTCCAGACAGTGGGACCCTAGACAATAAGACTCCAGACAGTAGGACCCCAGACAGTGGGACCTCAGATAGTAGGACTCCAGACAGTGGGACCCCAGACAGTAGGACTCCAGACAGTAGGACTCCAGACAGTGGGACCCCAGACAGTAGGACTCCAGACAGTAGGACTCCAGACAGTGGAACCCCAGACAGTAGGACTCCAGACGGTAGGACTCCCGACAGTGGGACCCCAGACAGTAGGACTCCAGACAGTAGAATACCAGACAGTAGGACTTCACACAGTTGGACTCCAGACACTAGGACTGCAGACAGTAGGACTCTTGACAAGAAATTTTCAGACATTAGGACTCCAGACAGTAGGATTCCAGACAGTAGGACTCCAGAGATCAGACAGGAGGACTCCAAAGTCCAGACAGTAAGACTCCAGAGATCAAACAGTAGGACACCAGAGATCAAACAGTAGGACACCAGAGATCATACAGTAGGACTCCAGAGATCAGACAGTAGGACTCCAGAGATCAGACAGTAGGACTCCAGAGATCATACAGTAGGACTCCAGAGTCAAGACAGTAGGACTCCAGAGATCATACAGTAGGACTCCAGAGTCCAGACAGTAGGACTCCAGAGATCATACAGTAGGACTCCAGAGTCCAGACAGTAAGACTCCAGAGTCCAGACAGTAGGACTCAAGAGATCAGACAGTAGGACTCCAGAGATCATACAGTAGGACTTCAGAGATCTACAGTAGGACTCCAGATTCCAGACAGTAGGACTCCAGAGATCATACAGTAGGACTCCAAAGTCCAGACAGTAGGACTCCAGAGATCATACAGTAGGACTCCAGAGATCAGACAGTAGGACTCCAGAGATCATACGGTAGGACTCCAGAGATCAGACAGTAGGACTCCAGAGATCATACAGTAAGACTCCAGAGTCCAGACAGTAAGACTCCAGAGATCATACAGTAGGACTGAAGAGATCATACAGTAGGACTCCAGAGTCCAGACAGTAGGACTCCAGAGTCCAGACAGTAGGACTCCAGAGTCCAGACAGTAGTACACTATGAGGGGTTTTGTTCCAACTTTTGATTCGACCTAAATACAATTTTAATTTCATTATATATTCATATGATCTATTTTTGTGTCCCATAAACACTGATTAATTGACCATACAAAAAGAGTAAACATTTTCAATGATGAATTATAAAAAGACATTAATAAAAATTGGAACAAAGATAAATAAATTGAGGATAAAAACAAAACAAATACATAAACAAGTAATTTAAATTGATTAATTTTTAGAATTAAACACATTTAAACCTAGAAAAACGACAATATCTTCTAAATCATGGATCAGATAAAGGGTTGAAATGGCCGTTTTTGAATTGAGGGTCAAAACAATAAAAACCAGAAAACTGTGAAATAGGAAGACGACTTTTAGACTTAAGTTATGACTATATATAGTCCAATAAACATGATACATAAATTGTGCAGTGCAAATAGGCCAATTTAACTTTATAAGTGAATTAACCATGTAAAGCTGTTTGCTAGAGTTAGTTTCTATTTTCTATTTATTAATGAAGAAACTCCTTAATTAGTAGTCTTTAAAGACTTTTTTAGTCTTTAAAGGTGCTGCTCTAAAAGAATCTGAAGATTTTATCAATCGTTTCGGAAAATCGTTGTGAAAAATCGTTATGAAAAATCGTTTCTAAAAATCGTTATGAAAAATCGTATTGGTCAATATCTTTGGTTAGAATGAAAATTTCTTATAATAAATTGTAAGAGCAACTTTATTGATTTTAGAAAATGGAAAGAGTTAAAAATTTCAGATTCTTGTGAAGTCTAATAGACCCCCTTAAATGTTTAAAAATGGATCTCAAAACGCTGCCCATTCCTAATAGATAGGAGAGAACGTTCCCATTCCTAGTAATGGATAGGGGTGAACGTTCCTCTTCCTAGTTATGGATAGAGGTGAACGTTCCCCTTCCTAGATATGGATAGGGGTGAACGTTCCCATTCCTAGTTATGGATAGGGGTGAACGTTCCAATTCCCAGATATGGATGGGGGTGAACGATCCCATTCCTAGTTATGAATAGGGGTGAAAGTTCTCATTCCTAGTTATGGATAGGGGTGAACGTTCCCATTCCTAGTTATGGATAGGATTAAATGTTCCCATTCTTAGTTATGGATAGGGGTGAACGTTCCCATTCCTAGTTATAGATTTGGGTGAACGTTCCATTCCAAGTTATGGAAAGGGGTGAGCGTTTCCCTTCCTAGTTATTGATAGGGGTGAACGATTCCATTCCTAGTTATGGATAGGGGTGAACGTTCCCATTCCTAGTTATGGATGGGAATGAACGATCCCATTACTAGTTATGGATAGGGGTGAGCGTTTACGCACAGACAATTGCAATAGTTTATAATATACGACCTGTTAATTTTCTGTTGCTCGGGGGTTAAATTCAGAATTTAATGGTTCAATCGTGACCCTAGCACCCAGTGTATATTAAACAGTAAATTGATAGATAATATATACCGTAAACTCATTTTGAATAAAAGTTCAATTTTCTAAAAAATCGTCTTGATATTATTATTATTATTATAAAGATTTATTCACACACAAAGATATAAATACATATATAAATGGTGTAGTTTATATTTGTTTAAATAAATTTTTGAAAATACAGGTTTCCAACACAAAAAAAGAGAAAAATATGCAAAATTATATACAATAGACGTCATTTTTCAGTTCTTGTAAAACCGGAACTTTCCATTCATGTTCCAATGGGACATCAAAATATTTCATTTGTTTCTTAACTAACATTTTACTAAGATCAGAAAGATTTACAGAACAATCATTTCCAATAGAAAATAAATTTCTGCCAAGAACTGTGTTAAGGTCATTTTTACATAAATTAGAAAGAAAAATAATGCAAAGCTTAGAACTTGCTTCAATAGTCTTTCAATCAAGTACCTATGCGTATCTCTAGGTACATTAAAAAGAATTCTAATAGCAGTATTCCATGCTGTATACAATTTTGAAACAATTGCTTGTCGAAAAACAAGTCTGATCCTATTTTTATATTCCTTTATCAATATCACTATTTCGTTTTGTGTTATGTAGTCTGCATTGCATGTGTACTGTACATTATATAGCTGCTTAAAATACGGCCCTGTACTTGAAATGTACCATAGTTTACAGTGATATATGCAGTAATTGAAGAGTATGAATGTATACTAAAAAATATAATGAACTTTTATCCAAATAAGTTGAAATACACATACACTATTACAGCCTCCACACAAAGAGTAAGACTTGAACCACTTCTTCATAGAGTTTTTCTTGTGTAAAGGGAACATTGCATCTTGTTTCTTGTTTGCCTATTAAAAATTCTCCAATTTATAATTACCAATCTATCCCCTCCCCGTTACCTTCCCCCTCTCCACTCTCCACTTCCCTCCCCCTTCCCACTCTCCACTTCCCTCCCTCTTCCCCCCCTTTCCCTCCCCCTTTCCTCGCCCTTCCCTTCCCCTTCCCTTCCCTCCCCCCTCCCTCCTGCTCCCTACTCGTATCTGTGTTAAACCTTTTCAATCTGCAATTGGCAATACATCTTTGGTGCTCAGTCACTTAATTGGGTTTCATAGTGAGTAAATTATGAGAACGATACGAAGGGAACCACGGGGGGGGAGGGTTATACTCTACCACATCTTTCCTCATTTGAAATAGGGGAATACCTTTTCTTGTATTATAGTCCAACATTGATGAAAAAAACTTCAAATTTGTCGTCAGTGCACTTTATCGAAATGTATTTAAACAGTTACGTGGTACAGGTATATGTTATACAAAACATTTGAACAGTTACGTGGTTCAGGTATAGTTATACAAAACATTTGAACAGTTATCAGAGAGGTAGAAGAGCTGAGAGGTTTTACAGTTTCATATTTTTGGTAGACTTTCTGTAGAATCATCATTAGTTTAATGCAGCATTGATACGTTTTACTGTTCAGTGGCGTTATTGGAAATATCTTAATAGTATAATTACAAGCGCTATAAGGTTACTAAAAAGTGTAACCCACTATTAGAAACAATTTACCCATAAATGGGGATCGTCGTTAAACATTTTGCTCTACAATGTCGTTTTAAGTTTTAGAATGTACTCGAAATGTACTCGTTCTTATTTCCTGAGAATTTCAAAAAATTCAAACATCTTTTTATGTCATTTATTTTTAAAAATATTTTGATTGAAATGCGCAACTTATTCAACGCTGTTGTACAAAAACGAACGACGTTTAGTAAACATAGAAGCCTGAAGACACTTTATTACAGAGACTCCCGTTATATACAAATTACTAGAATTAAACATTTTTAAACCTTGAAAAAAGACATTCTTTCACATCTCATATCAGATAAATGTTTCCAGGGTACCGTTGTAAATCGGACATTGTCAATTTTGCGTGGAGGGTTACTTGACGTTCCACTTACAGTCCCTTTAAGCGTACAGTTGTACCGTCCCTTTAAGAGTACAGGTGTACCGTCCCTTTAAGCGTACAGTTGTACAGTCCATTTAAGTGTACAGTTTGGTGTACAGTTGTACAGTCCCTTTAAGTGTACAGTTGTACAGTCACTTTAAGTGTACAGTTGTACAGTCCCTTTAAGTGTACAGTTGTACAGTCCCTTTAAGTGTACAGTTATACAGTCCCTTTAACTTTCGAACCTGGTTTCATTCCTGAAATTATTTTTTTTTTCGAATTGTTCTTGTTATATCATAAGAATATTTAAATTATACCAATGGTGTACTAATTGTAAGAGTTTGCAATGAAACTTGTTGTTTTTGTTGTTTACATAACATCATGCAGTACACTTACATTAGCAGAAAAATATAGGTAGGAGTAATTTTTAAAAAGGAAAAAAAAATTAACATTTAATTCTGTTTCAATACTTGTGTTCATTATGAGATTTAGTTTACTTTTTTACCTTCAAATGTAAAATCCCTAAATCTTAGCAAGCCAATGTTGTAGACCTTTGATATTTCAAACTATAAATTTGATAAATCCAATCATCTTAGGTTTAAATGTCAAAGGTTTACGCCATCAGATTGCGAAAATATAGGAGTTTAAAAATTTGAGTTTGTGACAGAGACTTAATTTTTTTTCTAATCCATTTTTCTTTTCAACATTTGAAACTTAAATGTTTTTGATCATGTAACAACATAGAAGTCATAAAGAAGACATAAAGAGGTATATCACATCAGGTTGAAAAGATATCAGGATTAGTAAAATCGAGTTTAAAGGAACTGTAAAGGAAAAATGTAAGGGGTATAGGCTGAAACCTAAGCATTTTAGAAGTTGATCGGGACCCATAAGAGTTCTATCTGATGTTTATACTGTCCTGGCAGGGCAGTATCATTGTCACGTGATACAGACGGAGACACGTAACAATGATACTGCACTGCCATTGGTGGGAGTTCTGATCACCTGATACGAACGTAGTAATTGTATTATCAATTATATCTAATAAAAATTAAAAATTATTAAATTTAAATAATATTAAGAGCAAACCTTAGTTTTTAATGCTCCTCTGGGATATCTCGTTTTCAGATTGGTTTCGTATTTGCTGAATATGATCTGTTTAAACCTGTACGATTTTTCTTACAAAATTATATATATATAAATTTTCGTATAAATTTGACACAGTTTTATATTAATTTCGAGACAGGAACATCAGATAGAACTGTTAAGGGTCTCGATCAAATCCTAAAAAGCTCAGGTTTCAGCCTATTCAACCTTTCATTTTTCCTTTACAGTCCCTTTAAGAACAAAAATAGAAAAAAGAATGACATTTTCCAATTGAAAAAGATCAAATACACATTCATAAGATGCCTGAGTCTAAAACTAAAGAACGAAAAGTTTTGACTTAAATTTTAAGTTCATGGTTAAATGCCACTTCTGACTTAATTTAAACCTGAACTTTAGCCGGGAAAATCTGAACCAATCAGAGAAAAGGATTTACGGAGAATATTACATGACCATCGCTAATCAGCTGTTATTGCGTAACCGAAAACAAAACACATTTCGAGTTACAACCGTTTTTTGGGTTTACATGCAAAAATTAATTAATCTAAAACGTGAAATTTCTTTAACAAGGTTTTCACTTTTAAATATATCGTAAAGTTGAATGCCACTTTCTCAGCTGAATGAAGACTGAATAATAGACTAATAGGGAAAATGCAGGATTTCAAGATTTTAACCCTGTGTTTAAATTTTAACTCGTCGATTTCGGCGAGTTAAATATTTAACCACAGGGTTAAATATTTAACCTCATGGTTAAAGTTCAGGTTTAAATTAAGTCAGAAGTGGCATTTAACCATGAACTTAAAATTTAAGTCAAAACTTTTCGTTCTTTAGTTTTAGACTCAGGTTTATGAAAATCAATTAATTAGTGATTTTTTTAGAAAGAAATCATCAAAGAAAAAAATAGAATTTGAATATTTACCTGAAAACTATCAGGTCAGATTTAATCCTTTACAATTTCCCTAAACTAATTCAGGAAATTATATTTTCACGGGATTTTTACTTAATCTGTAATACGGAACAATTTTGCCGGGATTTTTCCTTAATTTAGTTTGTTTAAGGTTAAAATTCAAGCCTTTAAATGCCGACACTCCTGTATTCCGAGTCCATTAGCGCCTGATTCAATCAGGGTTCAGTCATGTGTTTGTTGTCTATTCTAAACCAATAGAAATAGTTTAGCGGTAACATCTATCTTTCTATCTATCTCATTTTCCAATCAGAGATATGAATCCTTCAATCGGCGCTATCAGTAAATAGAAATATTTACTTCTACTGAGACTATGGTGCCGAACGTAGATATGATATAATTTCCCAAATTATACAAAGACACTTGCTTATATAATTTCATTCCTTTATAAAACCGAAAAACCTCGAAAACAAACTTTGAAATCCGCAAAATTTAGTATGAAATCCAGAATTTGTCAGTGTTAGTTGAACACGGAAGATATTAAATTCTTCAATTATTGTCCCAGAACAATTATAAGAAATAATAACCCAAAAGATGTTCAAATAACAGGAAAATACACGGGATATTAATTCTCTGAAAATGGAGTAAAAGAATTCAAATATCTTTTCAAGTTTGAAGAACGACAATATCCTCCTTATCGTATAAATCCGATTATGGGCTACATAAAAGCCGACTGACGAGTACTATTGTGAATTTATAACGCTTTAAATCACGCTGATTGTTCCTTTAAGTCGTTTTCATACTTATAATTAACCAAGGAATTGAGTGTTTCTTTCAATCTAAAATTTTCTCATCCCTATATCTTTGCAACCTTATGGTGTACACCTTTGATATTTAAATTTTAAAGTATCTATAACATGGGGTTGCAATGAAAAAGGTTATAGAAAATTCGGAGTTTGTGGCAAAGACTCAATAGTCTTTGAAGGATTGTTTAGCTATTTTGATTTCATTTCATTCTAAAGCCTCATTTCTTTTTCGAACACATGTCCTTTCAATAATTCCTATATTTTAGAGCCCAGAAACTATAATTTGTAAGAAGCCATCAAAGGAAGGAATAATTTACTTTGAAACAGGACAAATTGAAAATATTTAACATTTAAAATAAAAAAATCCTTATTAATTATATTTGAGGATGTTTTTAATTCTTTTATGGGGTTGAAGAAGTAATCTCAAGTGACACTATATTCATACAAGAGTGGGAATTACGATTCTTAAAGGGAGTGACCGGCAATGTTTGGTTGTTGAAGTGAGAATTTAGTATTGTGGAGAATTTTTTTTATAGGATTCATTTGAGACATATGAACCTTTTTATGATATAGAAATACTGAGTTTGAGTGTAAAGTCGACGTTCAAAATCATTCATTTTGGTGGTTACGTTTTGAGAATCGATTTTTTTAGATTATAAAATATCGACGACAAATAATGTAACAAAAGTTATACAGTAAACTAATTAGTCGTTTAGGAACAGGTTGAGAAAATAAAAATTAACTATTATGATCGAAAATAAGTAATCTTATTCAGTTATTGGTTTCTGTAATTTGTCTCATTCTTCACAAACATTTTCTGTAATTTTTATTGAAAAGACAACATTTAAAGAATTTTAAAAAATCTGCGAACAAATTCGTTAAGAATAAGAAATTTAACATTTAATGATGAAAAGAAGTAATTTATTGACAAATTTCTATTGAGAAATATATATTCCTAACCATCTAATTAGTTTACTAGACTATAGAACTTTTACAATATTTTTTTTATCGTCATTATTTAAAAATTTGAAAAAATACCAATTCTTAAAACGTACCCACCGAAATCGAGGATTTTGAACGTCCTAAAAAATTCTCTACAATACTACAATCTCAGTTCAATCATAATACATTGCCAGTCACTCCCTTTAAAGAAAAAAGTTGAAAGGAAAAATCCATGTCATTTGATCCTAATCAAAAAAGTTTTTATTATTCAAAGAAAAATGACACAAGTACAAATAATATATTAATGTATTAATAGAGTTGGAGGGTAATTATATTCAAATACTAAAATAAGTACACAACTTGATTGATATACATAAATATATATATTGCCTGTCATTCAAGTAAATTAGTCTTTTGATTGGATACACGTAGGCAGGTAAACAATTTACACTATTCAATATAACACAATTTGTTTTTAAAAAAATCATAAATATTTTTTCTTGGTCGTATGGATGATAAATTAAAAAAAATTGTCTGTACTATACGTTGTACTATTTTGAAGGAACATTCTTAATGTAATCCTGTATTTTGTCCTACTTATTTTTATTATCAAACTGCTTCTTTGCAAATTGAAAAAATTCACTTTGATTCTTATAAAGGTGATATTTACTTTGAACTACTGCCGTTGAACTATTGCACATGGTGCCACGTGTAATAGTTCAAACGACCAATAGTTCAAACAATAACATTCTGTGGGCATTTGAACTGTTTATTTTGCTCATTTGAACTATTAAAAACAAAAGTTATCGGAGCCGAAAAATATATATGTTTAAATGAGCAAACAAAATTTAGTTCAAATAAGCCAAAAAATAGTTCAATTGAGCAAAAAAATGGTTCAAATGAGAAAAAATAGTTCAAATGAGCAAAAAATAGTTCTAATGAGCAAAAAAATAGTTCAAATGAGCCAAAAAAAAAATAGTTCAACTGAGCAAAAAATAGTTCAAATGACCCCCAAAAAAGTTTCAATGTGCCGAATAAAAGCTCAAACGAGCAAATAACATATTTCAAATGAGCAAAAATATAGTTCAAATGAGCAAAAAAAATAGTTCAATTCTGAGCAAAAATATAGTTCAAATTAGTAAAGAAAAGGTCATGTAAGAAAAAACATTGTTTAATTCAGCCAATAAATAGTTTAGTAATTTCCTAATATACGATTTTTGGATCTCCCCCCCCCCCCCTCCTCCTGTCCATTGCTTTGTAGACGACATTTCCCATACATTGGAGCGCATCGAGAATAAGTAACCTTACCACACAACCTTGCACTAATTCCACTAATAAAAGAGTACTTGAAGGTGGTGGAGGGAGCAGCAGTAATGTTTGGAGCTATTTAACAGCAGGAGTTGTTTCGCTTAACGTTGCAGCAAATATTGTAAACAATGCGAATGAAAACAACAACAACAACAACAACAATAACAACCAGGATAACACAAACAATAACAACCAGGTTGGTTTTGTTGTAACAATGTGCACTGCGGCAGAACAGAAGACCAAACGCTACAGAGAAAAAATTTAAAAATACACGAAATAAATTGAGTCTTTGCCACAATCTAAAATGTTCTAACCCCTATATCTCTGTAACCTAATTTGGTGTAGATTTTTCATTTTTCAAACGTAGATTATTTGATCCAATATAATTCACAGGTCAAATAAATATGGGATTAGAAAATCAGAGTTTGTGGCAAAGACTCATCTCCCTTTGGATACAGTATTTGGAATTGAAACAGAATTTAATATTATAATATTAGAAAAGTTCAAATTCATACAAAATTACAAATACTCATATTTCCTTTTATAGTTTTGATTTTAAGAACGGTCCAAGAAGAAAATAGGTTATTTGGTCGCATGTAGACTCGCCTTAAGAACTTTAAAACTGTTTTATTCTTCTCTATGGGACTTCTATTAAAGAAGTTAGAAACTGAAAACATACAAGATCTAATGTAACATCAAATTTACTTGACGCAATTTAAAAAATTTAGTATATACATGGTATATATATATGTAATGTATATATGTAGTATATATTACATCTATATATATGTAATGTATACATATGGTTACCAAAAAAAGTGGAATAATTGTCGTCTTCTTTATTTGTTTGAAAAGTCGCTGAGAATGTGATAATGTTTAATCCAAAGATAATATATTTTCAAAATATATCAGATGCAGTTACAAAATCCTTAGTGATATTTTATAATAGAAAAAAGATAGAAGATAACAATTAATTATGTTTGGATTGAAGTATAAATATGTAGGATAAAATTAATTATATTTGGATTGAAGTATAAATATGTAGGATAAAATTAATTATGTTTGGATTGAAGTATAAATATGTAGGATAGAATTAATTTTGAAAATTTTCGAAACAGTATGTTTCCAACAGCTGTAAATTTTTATACAGAACGTTTGGAAAAGAAATGAAATAAATTTAAGTAAGATTTTTGTATTCAAAATTAAAATCATAATTTTTTAGAACTTTGGAAACAGTGCCAATGGAAATACGAACATGAATATGATAATCCCTGGTCGAAAATTTCAAGAAAAATTAGGTAAATGTTTTTAACTCATCAAAAATTACAATAATTGTTTCAGACCAATTTATAAAAATATCAATTATATGAAGTTATTTTCTAGAATTCACGAGTAAGACACTAGAGTCCTTGGAAAATACATTGATATACCTCTCCTGCAAACTAACGGAGGTTAGAATAAGATTTTAAGCAAATCTTGAAAGTCAACAATATTGTTATTCAGGAATTAAAAAATGCATCGCAATTACCTTGTTTTTTTGGTTTGTAAAAAATAATGCAACATATATGCAGATATATTTAATTTCAAAGGAAAAGCTATATTTAAGCTTATCCCCAAACTTTTAAAGCACTGATAAAATATTTTAAGGTATTCCTTATATACCTAATAACTCTACTAAAGCACTGATAAAATATTTTGAGTTATTTGCTATAAACCTAATAATTCTACAAAAGCACTGATAAAATATTTAAAGGTATTTCTTATATACCTAATAATTCTGCCAAAGCACGGATAAAACTATTTGAAGGTATCCCCTATACCTAAGCCCGCGATTTAAAAAATTCTGGAAAATACGACTCGGGTCTAGGCTGTCGTTGGGCCTTATTTATGGCTTGAACTTTTGGATTCAAGCTGCATCTTATTTTTCACAGAGTTGAGTTTTAAAAAACCGGTTTAATATTCTATTTGGCGGATTTTCATGGTAGGAATTGGCGCATTCCAGGTTTTTATGAGAACATTTCTCAATATTGAGCCTTATTCTCCACTAAAACCAACCAAGGTCAGTTTTATTTTCATTGGGCCTAACTCTTTAAGTCGAGCCGAAGATCTTGCAGCTGTCAATCACATGACACAAGCTGTCGTCAGAGTTGGGTCGAAGATTGGGTCTTAAAGTCGGGTTTAAGGAATTACGGCTCGAGCAGAAGTTTTTAAATCGCGGGCTCAGATAACTCTGCTAAAGCACAGATAAAACTATTTGAAGGTATCCCCTAGACCTAATAACTCTGCTAAAGCAAGGATAAAACTATTCAAAGGTATCCCCCAGACCTAATAACTCTGCTGATAAAACTATTTGAAGGTATCCCCTAGACCTAATAACTCTGCTAAAGCAAGGATAAAACTATTCAAAGGTATCCCCCAGACCTAATAACTCTGCTAAAGCACGGATAAAACTATTCGAAGGTATCCCCTAGACCTAGTAACTCTCGGATAAAACTATTCGAAGGTATCCCCTAGGCCTAATAACTCTGCTAAAGCAAGGATAAAAATATTCGAAGGTATCCCCTAGACCTAATAACTCTGCTAAAGCACGGATACAAATATTCGAAGGTATCCCCTAGACCTGATAACTCTGCTGAAGCACTGATAATTATACTTGTACTTGAAGGTTTCCCCTAGGCCTGATAACTCTGCCAATTCACTGATAAATATATTTGAAGGTTTCCCCTAGGCCTGATAACTCTGCCAAATCACTGATAAATATATTTGAAGGTTTCCCCTAAGCCTGATAACTCTGCCAAATCACTGATAAATATATTTGAAGGTTTCCCGTAGGCCTAATAATTCTGCATAATTAACTGATAAATATATTTGAAGGTTTCCCCTAGGCCTGATAACTCTGCCAAATCACTGATAAAAATATTTGAAGGTTTCCCCTAGGCCTGATAACTCTGCTAAATCACTGATAAAATATTTGAAGGTATCTCCTAGGCCTGATAACTCTGCTAAATCACTGATAAATATATTTGAAGGTTTCCCCTAGGCCTGATAACTCTGCCAAATCACTGATAAAAATATTTGAAGGTATCCCCTAAACCGGAAAACGCTGCTGAAGCACTGATAAAAATACTACACCTGGCTGCTGGATTCATTACTGCTGACATTCTAGGCAAATATTTAAACATAAACGAATATTGTAAAGCAACATTTTCAATGGAGCAACTGCAGCAATTAACTACCCAATTATCTTAAAGGCAAACTGCTGTTAAGTAAGGTCTATAAACACTTCATATAAAGAGGGGCATGTCCGATTCCCAACAGTACTTTTTAATATTATCTGATCAATTGATGGAAGATATTATCTTTTTCTAGTTTGAAACGTATTTAATTATGATATTTTCCGCAATTGATGCGTAAGTCGTTTTGCAACTAAAAAACATAATTGAATATGATCAATTTAAAAATGAATTACTAACCATTGTGTTTTATTCATTCTTGATTTGACATACCACTCTTAAAATAAAAATAAGTGAACGGTCCCTTTAAAATGCAGAGTGACTCTTTTGTAATTTCAGGAGAGTTAAAAAATACACAACAAAATTCAAAGTTTGTTGTTTTGAATTGATTTCATTGCAAGGAATTGAGTCTTTGCCACAAACTTTGATTTTCTAATCACTATATCTTTGGAACCAAATGTTGCATACCTTAGATATTTCAAACTATAAATTCTGTTAGATCAAATAATCTGAGTTTGAAATATCAAAAGTTTACAACATCGAGTTCTAAAGATACTGTGGTTTAAATATTTGATTTTGTTCCAAAGACTCAATTCCTTTCTGTTTTAGGATTTGACAATAGTTTCTTAGATTCCTACCTCTTTAATCTCAGGTTAATAAAAGTTGAAAATAAAACTGGAACATTCTAAAAAGTATTTTTTTTATTAAAATTTATTTATTCTATTTTCTCTGCTTTTCTTTTAGCTATTGTATAAGTATGCGCACTGTTAAAAGAAAGTCTAACGTTTTTTCATCTTCGAGTTCAGTATTACGAACAACAGATTTTTTACAGTGTATTGTCTTATGTTCAATATAGTGAAATAGCAAATATTTCTAGTGAGAATGGAAGTAATGGTTCCTGTCCGCCTGATCTACTTGATGCTCATATTTCTAAAAATGCCGAGTTGTGATTCTAAATCTAGACTGGATCATATTCGTCTTCCTTCAAATCAGAGAGTAAAATACATGCCTATGGATTATAAGGTCATTTGTCAATTGAATTCATACTTTGTTATAAATAACATATATTATTATGTTAATCAATTTTCTCCTGGATTATTTTTTTGTTAAAACATTTTAATGATTTCAGGAAAAGGAGGCGGTTACTGTTTGTCCCGCCCCCTCTTCCTCTAAACCAGGGGGAGGTAATATTGTTATGACAAATTTTATAAGTTTGAAAAAAGGTTTTGTTTAAATAAAATTTTTTCTTAGGTTTCAATGTTTGGACCTTTCTCACGGCAGCTGTTGTGTCAACAACAATCGCTGGAAACATTGTCAATAATGTCAACAATAACAACAATAATAATAATAACAACAATAATATAGTGAGTAAAATAGAACTTCTTTATATGTATTTTCTTGATATATAATCTATAAATACCTTTTTTGAAATAATATTATTTATGTATTTTAAAGATAACTTTATATAGTCGGTTAAGAAAGTTGACAAAAATTCGACACAATTTTACCTCTTGTAGTAAAAAGTTTTTGACTAGATTAATCCAATTTTTGTAAAAAAAAATCCAAGATAAAAGTCGAGATATGAAACGACAAATGACGAGTTTATTGAGTCGACTTAAAGTCGACTTCTGGTAGCAAAATGTTGAGTTAAAGCCGACTTTTATTAGCTGGGTTATGAGCAATTATTACAGAATCAATAGCTGTAATAAATAGCATAATAAAAATCATATGAATTTTTTTTTCAGGACAACTCAAACACCAACAACCAAAATTTCTTCAACAATGCCAACTCAAACATGAACATGAACATGGTTACCATGGCAATGGGCAGATATTTTTCACAGCTCAATGATAACCAGAGCATCCTAAAATCTGCAATAAAAAATTGCGCAAAAACAATAATTTGCAAATCAGCGAACTTTTCAGAAGGACGGAAAAGTTTAATTCCAAAATTAGTCAGGTATTATGATAATTACTATTTATGAAACATGTTCATTAACTGTTTTTTCTTTTTTTATATAGTTTGATTGCTGGACTTCTGATTGATGATAATTTTGATCTTTTAAGCCTTGAAGATCTTCTAGAATCTATGAAAATTAACGATTGTAAACAGTTTTCTTGTTTTCCATTCTAATATTTTAAACATGTTTTAAACGATAACAATTAAATTTACAGGTCCCTTTAGAATTAGATTTTTAAAAGCAATACACTTTATTTTCTGTGATCATCTTTGTCATGGGAAACCCCAAAACTTTATTAAAAAGCCTTTTTCTTTATTTATTCAAAGTAAGACTAAAACTTGAAAAATATGAAATGAGTTAAACTTTGTTTTATTATCTTCAGTTTAATCTGACTTTTGATTTTATTATCTGAAAAGTGGATTATATATTAAAACCAATAAAGTTATTAATTAACACATGTTTTATCATTAATGTATGTATTTCAATTAAAACGAAAAAGGATTAAAGTAAGTTTAGTTTATACTAAGCTAAACAAAGTATAGATTTTTAATATCTGGTTTTTGTAAAAACACGAAAAAGAAATTGGATAATAAAATTAGTCATATAGTTTTTGTTTAATGTACGAAATAAATAGATATTTTGTGCTGAAAATATAATTATACAGGTAAATTAACTGATTTAATGTAATAAATGTAAGAAGAAGAAAAATTCCGCACAGTCGTCTCTGAAGTCTCATTCTGTAGAAGAGTTAGGTCACACATTGATTAATTAATTAATTTAAAAAAAGATATCACTAAGAAAACTATAAATTTTCCAAGAGAAAAACAAGAATATCTCACTTACTTTCGCTGAGACAAAGTTGTAATGGGTACCGTTGTGAATTAGGAATCTAAAACTCTTTGTTAGGAAGGCCTCTTTCTTCATGAAAAAACAATGCTAAAGATAACAAATTGGAGTTTCTTAAGAAATAATTTAAAAAAAAAATAGTAAAAGATACAATTTACTAATTACTGAATATTTTTGGAAATCAAAATCCACACTTTTAAATCAATATCCCTGAAGGAATCAATATATAATTCAATTTTAAAGGGAGTGTTCGCAAAAATGAAAGTGGGTATAGGCTTATGTCGAAAAATATTTCATTGTGATCGCTACTAATCTTACTCCTATCTGTAGCGTCTACAAGCAGAAATTTGTAAAAAAAAACTAATCATACCGAAGAACGTAGCCTTAATACAAATTCAGAAAGTTGCAATATTCGACTCTGATCGTAAAAAATCAATTTAATTCCAAACAAATCATTCAGATATTACAACCTGTAATCATCGATGTTTTTTCGACGCATATATATAAGTTGGTATATTTCATAATATTTTTATTTATTTTTTATATGACGCAATTTAAAGCGACGATTAGTTGGCCGCCAGGTGTCTCTGCTCTCGATGTTTCTGCTAGTTCCATGTAGGAGAGACACCTAGCAGACAAAAATCATCGTTTTAAGTGCATTGTATATAAAACAAATAAAATATGTTATGAAATATTAACTATATACGAATGTGTCAAAAATAAATTGATGATTATAGGTTGTAGTATCTGCAGAATTATTTTTTTTTGAATTAAATTGATTTTTTGCGTACTGTGTCGAATATTGCAAATTTCTGAACTTAAATATTGGTATGGTTCGTTTTTCACCATTTTCTCCTTGTAGACGCAACAGATAGAAGTAAGATTAG